TGATGGCCATTTAAATTCTGTGAAATCGCCACATTTTTGTGAAAGAGTGTAATCAGGGAAAGCCTTTTCGGTGCAGATATGGCAAACTTTTAATTTTTTTGTATTGATAGTAATAATAATAATACGGCGGCCATCCTCAACGGAGACTAGCCATTGGCGCAGGACAGGATTATAGTGCCCAAGTGTATGCGCAAGCACAGGTGCACTCTCTATTCCCTCACTCTCCTCTCTCCGAGGCACGGGGGTGAGATCACCGCCAACTTCCTGTCTTCGGGCAGCTACTGAGAATTTCTTGACAGAAAAACTCAAAAATCGATTTTTTGACCTGAACCGGGATTCGAACCCAAAACCTCAGCAGTCGCACTACTACAACTGCTAGACCAACGAGGCAGTTTTGTATTGATAATGAATACATATATTATATAATACGTATATAAATATGTTCCGTGTCTTATATGAAAACACAGGAGTCGTGGTAGCTCAGAAACCAAGCATTCGCCGTAAATTTTCAGTACGCATGAAACCCGGGTTCGATTCTCTCCGACAGCAATTGTTAGTTTTTTTTCTAATTTAAAATCTTCAAACTTAACTACTCATACACAACACTACGAGTACATCATCATCTCTATGAATATAAGGCCGCAGCTTTTATTTAAAACAAAAATACGGTAATGATACTGTTATAAACAGTATTTATTTTAGATTCCGGTATTTCTTTAAACTCAAAATAGCAAATGATTTATACGCTAAGTAATACTAAACTAAAATTGTCCCGAACAGCGTAAAGCCAACGCCTACGGAAAATGTCTCATATCGTTTATGCATGTGAGTTATTTATTACAGTTTATACAACACTAAATTTTCCTCCAAGATTTTTCATGAATATATTTCATACAGGTAAATTAAAACTATAATTTGAAATAAATACCAAAAATGCGATGTTTTAAGTGACTATACTTAAACATAAATTATATTGATGACGTTTAGGTACGTAGTAATTCCCAGCTCAACAAGAATTGACTGCGCCCTCCTTTCTGCCAAGGAGGGTCGCGTTCGTATACGGCTTAGAGATCTCTAGTTATACCGTTAAGCCAGTCCCTAAAAGGTGGGGTTTAGTGGGTAAAAGTCTCCACATAACCACGCAGCCGGCTGCGTGGTATGCTATGAGCATTCCCCACCTCCCTCCCCCGTTTTCCGGAGGGTTGCCCATATTTGCTTCGGGCACAAAAAAAAACAAGGATTGTATGACCGCCATCAAATACCAGATGACACAGTACGAAATTAAACTTATCTTTTAACCGAGTTCTTAAAACAAAAATGTAGTATATTAGACTCGTGTGATTGTATATATGTTCAATGTGGCTGAACCGATGTAATAATTCTACTTTTTATTTAAGTGATTATCTTTCAGGGGTCGTCGGTATCTATCGTCATATAAATGAAAAAAAAAAAACATGGAAACCTTCGGAAATTGTCCCATTTCAGCATGGATATTGCAAAGTGCGATTTTTTTGCAGTAAATGATACTATTTGGTTAATGCACGAGTGTAAATAAATTAATAGTAAATAAACGCCAGAAAGAGGATATCTCCTCTCCTTCTTCTGATTAGCTAAGGTGCACCAGAATACAATGTGCTCCTTAATCCGCAACCTCCCACTCCACCTGCAGAACGGACTCCTCTAAACCCGATAAGTAGGGGCGGTGAGGCCAGAAAAAGACGAGGACTCGGAAGCACCAGCTTTCCTAACCCCGGAATTGGCGGATCTGGTCTGGTCTGGTTTTTGCTGCTGTGGGTAGGAAAAACAGTGGTGTCAGAGGGATTGGTCAAGTGGCACATTGCTATACCAACATTCTTCTTCCCCCGTTACTCCACCTTGAGCGGAGGGTAAGGGACTTGGAGTGACCACCTCATACCAGCCTGTTTGAGGTAGTTACTCCAAACTGATAAACGAGCACACACTCCATCTTATGGTAAGTGGATGTTGTGACTACATGTAGAAATCTACATCTATCTTCGATTTAGAATCAAAATTACTTAGGACTAAGATGGAATAAATCAATTCCAATAAAAAGGTTCTACACTCTCCATACGAAACACAGCAGCATTGTGCTGCATTTTTACGCTGGTATTCTGTGGGAGCATAATCCTCCCCGGGTCTAACGGACCACATAAGTGCTTCCTCTTAATTCACCTTGAGTGGCACGCCAAAGTTATTAAAATCCCCGCCACGACTACGTGGAGCGTTCCGGTGTGTACAAGACAAGGCCCTGTGCCATCGCACAGAAAAGGTGACATACACGTCAAACGCTCGATAGGCGGATTTATGAACGTAGTACCAGAAGTCTGCACCTTAGTCGCTCTGACTATTTTCGTTCTGGTACTATAAAGTACGTGAATTAGCAAACTATATCTTTTATATCGAATAAGGATCACAAACGAACAATCAGTCCACCTGATGTTAAGTGTATGCTCTCGCCCATAGACATCTATATCCATCTTCAAAATAGAACCAAAATGCAGTTGCGTTTTCACCCCTGAGGACTAAGACGGATTGCCACGTTTCCAGAAAATAGTGCACATAACAGTTTAATAGTGCACGAGCAACATGAGCTATGCACAGGTACCAGTGAAATTCAATTAATATAATAAATAATTGCAACAATAAGTACCAATTGACCGTCGCGGCGAAGAAACCTGCGTGCCTGAGAAATATCACAGTAAAATGGCAGCTTATTGCTGGTGATTTTCGTATCGTAAGTTTCAAGAACAGGAGACCCTACTTTATTGATAAAGATAGATGTTCATGTCTACAGACCACAACATCCACCTACCATCAGCTGATTGCGTTCTCGTTCGTCGCGCTTATTGCATAAAGAGCGCGCCGTGGGCTTATTATAGTCAATAGCCCTCTCAAAAATGAGAAAAGGCATGTTTAGACGCACATTAAGCTAATATAACGATTTTTAAAACCTTAAGATAATAAAAATAAAGTTCTAACTTAAGTTTATACAACTATTGTTGAATAAATACTCTCTTAATGCATTACAGTGTGGGGAGGAGCATCAAAAAATAAATTAAATGATTTTGAACGTACATAGCCAACGTGTCTTAATAAAATTATGTACAGTAATCCTTACGATATCCTTAAAAAAACTATTCTTGGAGTATTCATTCCATTGAAAGTTTTTAATTTCTACGGAATAGCGGGACATCCTGACACAGGTATATATTTACCTAAAAAGATGCCCAAGAAATGCATTAATTTATCGATTTCAACGAACTGTGATATAATAATTTATTTTATTTATAAATATAACGTAAGTTCGACAAACTTTTTAAAAAAAAAATAAAAAAAAAAAAAAAAAAAAAAATATATATATATTAGAAACAAATTTCAAATTTGATGTAACTTCTCATGGATAAATTTTACAAGAATTTAAAATTACTGAGTATGCAGAAAGGTTTTGTTTTAATAATATTTAAAAATATAATTTTAAAAATTTCTTCACAGCAAAACCCGCTTTATCGGGCACGTGATCGCCAACGTACGTTTTGCATAAAGTAAGTTTCGTTCGTGTTTTCTTAAGGTATCAAGATATTGTAAAATTAAAATTTAAGCGCTGTATGAATAAACAGTGTAATATTCAAACACTGAAACGCTTTACCATAGACATTTTTAGCGACATTTTGTCATTAGTAGCGACAGTGACACATTTATTATTAAAAAAAACTTATGATCCTGTGTTTCACTAACATACTAACTAATGGGAGGTGGTGATGTGGGCGAAGATGGTAAATGCACTGACTTAGCTTATTAAGAGGCTGTTTACTTTTGTTTTGAATTAAACCACATTGTTGTCACAGTTACTACGTATTTACGGAGACGTAAATTTTATAACACGCGAGCAACGGCATTCGGTCCTTACCGGCACCAATCTTTACTTTTTACAACGATTTATTGAAAACGGGCCAAATTATGCCTGCTGCATACGTAACGATTTATCGTAGCGATTTCAGACTGTGCAGATAAATCGAACGTTCCTAGTGCCTCCACACGCGTCCGATATCGACGTCGATCGGGCAGTTCTCCGCAGAAGCTCGCGCAACATACATGTTAACAATGGAAGATTATGACGCACTTGCTATATTAGGCCTAGTTATGTGTTTAAAGAAAAAAAAAAGAATCGGAGTCTATACTGTAAAGACTGGCTTATGAAAAGGAAGCAACTTTCTCATACCAACTTGTTATGTGAGTTGAAATTCGCTCCGCAAGATTGGCATAACTATTTAAGGATGAATGAAGAGGTACATTTAAATCTGCTGGCTTTAGTTTCTCCACTAATAAAGAAACAAGACACTGTAATGAGAGAAGCTATAAGTCCTCATGAAAGATTAACTGCTACACTGCGATTTCTAGCTACAGGACGTTCCTACCAATGTATGAAGTTTTCTACAATAATATCACCGCAAGCTCTTAGCCAAATAATCCCTGAAACCTGTGATGCTCTGTACGAGGTTCTACGGAAAGATTACTTAAAGGTAAGGAATGAAAAATACTGTATTAATCAACAAATTATTTATTAATTAAACTTTTAGGACGTATTGAAGAACATTTTACATTTTTTTTGAGTTGTGTGTGTGTGACTTAATGGAAAGGTTTTGAATTTGTGGCTAAGTGGAAAGGTTTTGTATGTGTGGCTAAGAGGAAAAGTTTTGAATGTGTGGCTGTGTGGAAAAACTAGTATTTGTAAAGTCATCATATTTTCTTACAGTGTGTGATATAGTTAAATAACCCATTTCAGCCAAGAACAGAGTTTCATTAATTATTTTTTCTGCTATAATTCTCTTTCTTTTGGTAACTCTTGTAGTTTCATCCCAACATTTTTGCCAAAAACCTCAAAACGATTATTGGGTTCTTTAGGCCTTTTAAAATGATCGTTTACGGACTTAAGTACGTCTTCAGTGAATGTATTTTTTTGGTCTTGGCTGAACACGACCCTAGATTGATGTAGCTCGTTCGCTCTTAGAACAGTTTGCTGGGGTCGGTGTGTCTGATTCGTTGTCGGAATAGGCCAGTGTCGGTGTGTCTCGATCGCTGTCTGGACAATCGTAGCTCGTTGAGCCGATGCCGGTGGTTGACTGCGTCTGTAAAATAGAAGAACTATTATATTTCTGAAATTACTATACTAATCATACAGATTCCAAAAACAGAAGAAGAGTAGAGAATAATAGCGAGAGAATTTGAGCAGAAGTGGAACTTTCCTCATTGTTTAAGTGCTATTGATGGCAAGCACGTTGAGATCGTTCCCCCCAAGTTACAGTGGCTCGTTTTATTATAACTATAAAGATAGACACAGTATGGTATTACTAGTAATCGTTGATGTAAAATACAGATTCCTGTTAGTTGATTTTGGGACAAATGGAAGGGTTTCCGATGGCGGAGTATTGTTGAATACAAAATTTTATGAAAAACTTGAAAAAAAAAAGGCGTTAAATATCCCTACAGAAGAAAGGTTACATAAAATAGTCCACGAATAATGTCATATGTATTTGTAGCTGATGACGCGTTTCCTGTAAGAAAGGACATGATGAAGCCATTTCGGCAAAATGACTTAGATAGTAGAATTAAGAAGGTATATAATTATCGGACATCGCGTGCACGCCGTATAGTTGAAAACGCTTTTGGTATTCTAGCGGCGAGGTTCAGAATTTACAGAACACAAATGAATATGTCGCCTGAAACTATTTAGTCAGTCGTAAGAGCAACCTGTTCTTTGCATAATTATTTGATGTCATCATCGCTTAGTTCATACGCTCCTTCAGAATGTTTCGATAGAGAACATTATGAGGACGGTACGATAACGTCAGGATTCACCACAAAGGACTCAACACTTGAACCATTACAAAGAACTACACAAGGCCGTACAATTCAAACAGCAAATCAGATAAGAAGTCAATTTATGACGTATTTTGTAACTGAGGGGAAAGTTCCTTGGCAAAGACAATTTTGTTCATTAATGTCAAAATACAGGACTCGTATTCGAGTAATATAATTAAGCAATAAATATTTTTTCAGAAATAAAAACTTACCTCATTTTCATCATCATCTATATTCGATGTAGATGGTCTCGGTACTTCTTGATCGTATAAAAAACTCAATAACTCAAAGTACCATAAACGAGGTTTATAAATCTCGTCAGTCCCTGCTCCAGATTTACACGATTTTTTTTATTTTATTGAGCTCTTTTTTATATGTAGTTCGAAGATTATTAACCCTTGATTTACCACCCTAATTAAAATATCACTTATCACCACCATGAGTCCCCGGGACTCATGTTTTAATTTTTTAAATAAAAAGTAAACGAAACATGTTATTTATGTTGTTATTTATTAGACTTCTAGCAAACACTATAATTCGTACATATCCGGTAACATTTTGTGATAAACTCAAATTAACATGCAGTTTACAAATACTTTAAAATTAACAGTCATCAAAAATCGTTCATTACGACTTACAGAAGAAAAAATAAATGTCAAATGAAAAAATAAATCAAAATAAAACATTATGAGGTAATTAAAAATAATAATAATTAATAATGGTACTATACAACATTTCAAAACGTGCAGTAAGTTAACATACTAATGTGTTAGACATTCTTGGCATGACTTTTTTGGAACAAGTAAGGCAGATTCGATTCTGTAAAGATAAGCAGTCTATGTTCGTTTCTTATGATTGCAAGTATAGCAATATTTGCGCTGATCTCTCGGTAAAATATCATCAGTTTGCGTTGTACTTGCTTGATCAGGAATGTCTAAGGCATGGTATGTTGTCCAAGTTACTAAGGATAGTAAAGAAGTTCAAAAGAACAGAAGAACAGGAAAGAAAAGAAGAACAGGAGTTCTTCAGTCTCGGAGCATTCGGAATTGGTGTCGTGATCACTCACAATATAATCGGCGTCCTCGTTATCAGAATGTGGCTCACGAATACATTCAGCTGCATAGCCGCTGCCATCGCCAATCTCCTCATCTTCGCTTAGTAAATCATCTTCTCGCAGCCTCATTCAAGAAAAGAAAAGAGCTTACTCCTGTCTAAAGGGCCGGCAACGCACCTGCAAATCCTCTGGCGTTGCGGATGTTCATGGGCGGTGGTAGTCACTTAACATCAGGTGAACCGTATGCTCGTTTGCCCCCTCTTCTATGAAAAAAAGCCATTCATTTATGATATCTGAGGCTAAATCATCTGCAATGTTTACCGATTCAATCCTTCTACGTTAAATTGCCATAGTGAAAGGCTACAACAAAATTAACATAGATAAACAAAAAGGAGGTAAATCCATTTTTGTCACACAATACTCCACCATGAGTCCCTAGGACTCACACTTGATCATATGTACCTTTCCGAACGACTTGAGCACGCGACCGCTCACTTCAGCGTCTTGCACCTTACCGCAGGAAGGTACTAGAAAGTGCAAGTCTAAACTCTAAAAAATAAACTATTTTTGTTGTTTAAAAGTGGTGGTGAGTCCCGTGGATTCAGGGTGGTGTATTAAGGGTTAATCATCTTAACCACTGTATCCTGGTGGCATTTGGATTGGATTGGGTTTGTATTTTTCGATTAGCCTGTCGTAGGCGGCATTTTTTGTTGCGGTCGTGGTAATCCTTACATGTAGTCTTCCAAAGGCAAGTTTCGTTTCTGTAGCTTTCTATAAAATCTTGAAGTAGTTCGCGGTGTCCAACTCTTTCGTCTTCCGACATGTTTCTGTAAAAGCGATGTGCACGTGCGAACACTAGCAAGCTCCGTGAAGTACTGCCGAACTGAGTAGGAGTAGTCGTTACAAAACGTAACTAGTTACTGAAACTATCTATTCACACAATAGCGGGTAGCGGGTTATTGCAGTGCAACGAAACTATCTATTACAGTAGACGTTTTACTCAGTAACACGATTCACGTTTCACGAATCACGAACGAGCGATCAGTAACAAAACGTTTATTCGGATATTTTCGCGACGCATCGGCGACGGCTTCGGCTGTTGAAGTTGAAGCATATGAATAAAGAAACAGATTCTTTACGCTGTAGTAGAAGTAACACCCGTCGTCGAATGTCGAGTGAGCGCGGTGCTTTTGCATTTGACCTATGACTTTATTCCCGTCGTATAGATGCGATATTAGAAGTGAGAAAGTAAGTGTGCATGTTCTTAACAAAAAATAGTTCAAATTCCATAATTAAATTATGGAATTTGAACTATTTTTTGTTTTGTGGCCTTGGCCCGGTTTAAATTAGTCTTGTGTTTAAGTTTTTATGCTGAACTTGTGGGTGAATTTGTCATAATCATAATTATTAAATAAATCGCTTGCCGTTAAATCTTTTCAAGTGATATTTTTGTCAAACCGTGTGAAATGATTTAACAAATAAATAAATTTAACCATTAACACCATGTCTAATTCTATACGAAACGTAACAAACAAGTTTTCTCGTGAAACGGACGTCGTTTCATTCGCAATGTTTTTCAATTAAACACGTCGTGAAACACTCTATTGAAGCCGCTATTAAAATAGAGTGTTTCAAAACCCTCTATTAAAATAGTGTTTCAAAAGCCGCTATTCATATTCGATAGATAGTTTCGTTTCGTTACTCAAAAAAGCCGCTACTACCCACCGCTAGAACTGAGCGATCGCCGTCCACACGCAACGATAAAACTGGGCAAATGTAATCGACAACGATTTATCTGATAGAAATTGCAACTGCCACCGACAACGATTATCGACAACGATTTTTCATACAATCGATTGATAAAACTGCGCAAACTGGTCTACACAGATTTATCGCTACGATAAATATGTATGAGGCATTAGGAGTACCCTTCACGACGACTTCGACGAGCATGTATGCGTAGGTATATTGGACGTGAAGGAGGCGAGAGGTGTGTCAGAATCGTGCCAAATGGAAGTTTGTAGTCTCTGCCTATCCCTCTGGGTGACAGGCGTGAGTGTTTATATATGTATGAAATAAGAAAAAAATATCTTTGAGTTTAAAATCTAATTAAATAGTAGGAGATTGGGAGCCAGCTGTTAACCTCTAATGACCAAGTTTAAAAAGTGAATTTCTATGAGTTGAACAAGGTAAGTAGCCCATAGAAATCGCCATTTATCCTCAAACAACAATCTAGATGAAGGTACTGAGGAATAGATTATACGTACGTATGTATAATAATTTATTATATTTACGCGAATATATATATATATATATATATATATATATATATATATATACGAATATAATACGGATTTAATTTTAATATACGCGATAATATCCGTAAAAACTAATATTATTTAAACGTATGTATGTAATTCATCGAAGTAAGATTATAATAAAAAGTAAATACTATAAAGATCTTATGGCTTCCGATTCGTGCCAGCATAAAAATTTTGTATCTTTTAGATGTAAAATACCAAACTATCGATGGTGATTATACTCTTTTCTGGCGACAAAAAAACAATGTTGATGGTGCAAGACATTTGGTCTACGAAAGTTGCTTTAAAAGTTCCATTCAAGACTTGGCTTTTATAACAAACTCTCTGTAATGATAGAATCCGCCAAAAATTTAGAGATTGTTGACAATAAATTAAGTATAATGACAAACTACCTAAAAATATAGTGATCGCTGAATTAAATTTGACTTCAAAGTTAATTTCCTTTAATTCGTGTACAAGCATTGCAGCTCTCAGTTAAAATTAATCTTTCAATTATTATCAGCCCATATTAAATTAAGTGCAAGTTTATATTAAAGCCCACCAGACGTACAAAAAAAATACACTAATGAGAGAGGAATACGGTGTAACAAAATTAGCGGTAACTAAGAAACTATTTAAAAGGCAAGCTAGACTTTGTCTGCGCAAGGAGTACGACAATAAACGGAATATCTACTTAGAAACGTTTTATGTTCGGAAATAATATCCTCAAAGTAGTTAATTACCAATCCCTTCTACTACTTTTTATTGTATTTTTTTCTAAGTTAAGACTTTATTAAGGCTATATAAAGTTAAAGATTGATTTTACTGAGAATTTCACTCTTTAAACGTCAACTTTTAATGACACCGCCATGACACGCCGTCGCGTCGTCGAATATATAATTATGAGCACAACAAGCGCACACAATAATTAAAAAAACCGGCCAAGAGCGTGTCGGGCCACGCTCAATGTAGGGTTCCGTAGTTTCCCGTCCGTCACAATAAGTGTTCCCACTTATGAGTTTAAAGGTGGGTATCCATTATGTTCGCGCTCCAGCAGCGCTCCGCGCTCCTGCAACTGCTCCCGGTAGTGGGTGCTGTTGTTTCCATCCAAGTTCAAAATGATTTTCCTAGAAAGTCCTTATAAAGTTCTACTTTTCAGATTTTTTTCATATTTTCTAAACTTATGGTTCAAAAGTTAGAGGGGGGGGAACATTGTTTTTTACTTTTGGGGCGATTATTTCCGAAATTATTGACATTATCAAAAAATGATTTTAGTAAACCCCTATTCATTTTTAAATACCTTTCCAACAATATATCACACGTTAGGGTTGAAATTAAAAAAAATCACTTCCCACTTTACATATAGCGGGGCTACCCTAATAAAACATTTTTTCCAATTTTTATTTTACCACTTTGTCGGCGTGATTGATACACATATTGGTACCAAATTTCAGCTTTCTAGTGCTAACGGTCACAGAGATTAAGCGAGGACGGACAGACGGACAGACAGACATGGCGAAACTATAAGGGTTCCTAGTTGACTACGGAACCCTAAAAAGCAACCTATAGCACCAGAATAAATAATAGTACTACGTACCTATACTCAGTGGTAGCTGGGTCATGTGCGCTTGTTCTTGCTGTTATAAGTGTGCGTGTACTTGTGCGTTTATGTGTGCGTGCATATGTGCGTGCATGTGATGTAATATATGAAACAGAAACTCTTTTATTCATTATATAGATTATAAATAATGCTTATTGAAAAGATTTTTTGTATTTACCACTTTTTTCACTACACATTTTGTACACATGTATATTCTTATTCCCTTTTCTACACTGCATCGCAACTTTTTTCTTTAATAAACTTTAATCTCTAAGAACGGTATCACCTGATATCACTATTTTTGTAAATGATTAAGAGTTACAGAGCCTATACACGTCCTACCGCTGGGCACAGGCCTCCTCTCATATTTGGAAATTTCCTCCGCACTGCCCCAATGCATTTTGGCGAACTTCATAAGTCTTATAAATGTTTCTTTCTTATTTCTCAGCCATGCAGGTTTCGTAACGATATTTTCCTTCACCGCCAAGCACGTGATAAATCATCACTTTTAACAATTTCATTGGTGTCAGTGGGGATCGAACCCGTGTTGCTCGCGTTATGTGAAATTTACTTCGAGCGTTCTTTGATATATAAAAAAATTGTTTTATTCAGGAAGTTTGTCAATTTTGACACTAATTCCTTTGTAGAAAATAATCCTAAAACCAATTTAAGGGTATTCCTCGGATGCGCATATTGTCCACTCTGGTGAATACTTACGTAGGGTGTAGATACGAATAAATGTTTTTTAGAGGTCTAACAATACCTAACATTATTTGACACCAATACATACAAATACATTATGTATAAATAAAAATAAATTATACCAACTTTACAATAAATGTTGTGGAATGCAGTGTAGCGATATCCATCGATCTATTTTTCCTAAAGCGGTATTGTTTTTTAAATAAAAGTCCGTTAGACTCTAAAAACGCCATCAGTCTCTTCGTTTTTCCATGATTTAAGATAAAGCTGAAAAAAAATGACTTAAGTCTATAGTTAGTTGTAATCGAGCGTAATAATAAATTTTATATTATAATAATATTACGAGGATAATTATAAGCTCAAGGTCGAAAATATTTTTTTTTATGGAAGATAGTTAAGTGACTACCACCGCCCATGATCAACCGCAATTCCGATACTGGCTGAGGCAAAAAGGGAGTGCCTTGAAACTGAGGAGATACGATAAAGGGGTTCTTTTTAGCGGTTAACTTGTGGTTAAACTTGTGTTT